TATGCTTGCTAGCAAATGTATTTTTTAATTTACTTTATAAAATAAAATGGTATGTAAAAGAAAGTGCAACCTGTATTTATACTTGATGGACACTGGAACCCATGGGGGTGTGTGTGTGTGTGTGTGTGTGTGTGTGTGAGCGGGTACTAATTAAGGACAGTAAATAGAGATTTAAACAAACTGTGTTAAAAGGATTTTGCAAACAAAAAATATTTAGGGGCCATTTGCCCAGTGAATATCTGTGAACATTTCATTCACAGGATGAATAATGCAAGAAGAAACTTTCCTAATATATTTTTCTTCCCAGTTCAAATGTATTGTCATGTAATACTAGATTTTGGCCACTAGATGGAGCAAAAAAGCATAGGAAATATGAATTAGTTTATCTTTATCATTAACATATCTTTCTTTATACTGCCACTGGCTTCTGGTCCCAAACACAGCTTCCCCTAATTTCGAGGTAGAGGAACACGTGCCCTGATTATGTCACATGCGTGTTGTGCTAGGGACAGTCAAGGTTCCAGCTTCTGTCAAACATTTACTGGGAGGAGCAGGGGAGTATATTTTCACCCCAGGCTCCAGTGTTTTGGTTTCTGTTGATGCAAAAGATTGTATAGCAATGTGTGCTGTGCCAGCCTGGAACATACACACATAGGGGGCTTTATGGGACCCTGTAAAAGGACCCAGCCACCTACAGCACTATATGATTTTTAGTTTTGAGGGTTTAATAACACTTTCATTTAATATAATTCATTTTCAGTTTCAACTTTTTCTAACTAGATTTTTTTGCAGTTGTTATAATCCATTTTATTCATTAATACAATTTAATTTCTGTCAACTCTTAAGGATTTAAATATTTTCCGACTAGGTATTATTACATTTAAAACTTTTCTGGACAGTCATATTGTTTACCTTTAAGGTATATCTAAAACTTAAAGTTTTTCTGATTCTCTAGAGGCACAAAAACAAGCCATGTATGGGACAACAATTTCTTAGCCAGTTAAATAACTCCCTTAGCTACCAATGTCTCTTATGTGTTGTCCTTGGAATTGATATATTCTCTTAAAATGTTACATTCCAGTCTAATTTCATAAAATAATTTCTGAGGACCCTCTATCTCTATCTAAATTCTCCCAAGATTCACAGATCGTATGGTATGAAGAATCTGGGAAACAACAAACCATGCATCATTTATGTTTTTGGCATTGGATTAATCCATCTGTCTATCTAATCAAAGAGTCCTCTCTTACAGCACCTTTCTGGCATTCGCTGTGCTAATCCAATTTACAATGCAGTTCTTCTCTTGGTTCTGCTACCGATCTGGAAACATTGAACTTCCATACCAAATATAGTCAAACAAACATCATTATTAAGGTAAGTCAGGTTACCCTTTTCCCTTTCCCTACTTTGAACTATAATCTGACTATCTACTACTCAGGGGTTATTCAGAAAAGGATGAAAAGTTTGGAGAAGGCAGGAAAAGTGAACAATCTATGCCAAAATAGCTGATTTGGTAAAATTCTCCAATTCGAATCTGTTGTACTAGATGGCTAAAATTAGGTACCTCGGCTTATATTCGGGACGGCTTATACTCTTCACCCTTTTGTGACTAGCCCTGTGACTCTTTAACATTACTACCTCTGTACCCAGAAATGTAAATATCAAATGCAATGTCCTGAAGATAGTAGTAATAATTATTACATACATATTTGCAAAAACATATATAAAGTAATAATTCATTAACTCACTTTGTTAAGTTCACCAAAATGTCACCCCAGGGTCAAAGTACACAGGCATTTGCCTCTGAGCTGCTTTTCTGCCCTTTACAATCTATGTGCACGTGAAAGCAACTTAAAGCAGTCTGATGGAAATCAGAATCAGCTTGAATCAACTCAGAAGCAATTTGAAGTAACTTGTAGAGCATTTAAAAGTTTAGTTTAATTGAAATTATCTGCCATCCACAACAGTCAGCATGAATGCAGCTCTTCCCAGTTCATTGGGTGTGTACTTCCTGAAAACAGTGTTGTGTAACTTCCACTCTCCTTGCTTCATTTATGAACAATCCTATTTAAGCTAAGTGGGGAGGTTTGCATTTAGATTTCCTGCGAGAGATGTTCCATTTGAGAGGCAGCATTGATTGATGTGTTTGGGAAATAGTTCTCTTATATTAAAAGAAGGGGTTCTCAGATCTCCTGGTTTGCCAACAAAAGGTAGTGGGGTGAACTGGTGCACTACATAAAGACGTGGATGACAGACTGAAGCATGGAGCAGGTAGGCTTTGTTCCCTGTATGTATTTCAAAGATTCATTTTCACTTTTGCCTGGAGCATATTTCTAACACAACTGTGGCATTATTTTTTATGCTCTCCATATGCATACTAGTAAATTCAGTAAGCAGGAGAAAATGTTCAGCTCTAACTCTGATAAGTACTCCTAGCACATTGCACTTCCACACAACAGGTAACAAAAGGTGGCTACCTATTGATCCGCATTCATTATAATTTGATATTGTTAGCTAATACTTTGTATCTGATTTTGATTCAGATTATTATCTATTCACTGTCTGTGTCGACTGATACTGAAGTCTCAGAAATAGGAATCTGAGCAGGATACCGTTCTTCAAAAGAAGCATAGACTTACATTCATGTTGTTTTCGCCTTCAGACTATTAAAGTTCACTATGCAACTTTTAGAGTTTAGAGATGCTAGTATTGATAATTGGCATAAAAACTACCAAAAACCCAAAAAGTTTGTATTTTGTTCTCTACTTTTATTTTGTTCTCTACTTTTATATGTGTTCTATGCATGCACATTATTTTTAATAGATAGTAATTATTAGTTGAACTTGATGTTCTTTTTTTCAACCTGGCTAATTATGTAACTATAATAAAAGGTACATAGTGCTGTGAGCATTTAAAAAATGATTTCTTTTAACATGTTTGCCTGGCTTGGTTTATATAAGTATCCACTTTGTTGATTAAACAGCATTTTCACAGCATTTTCCTTTTTTTTAGTAGATGGGGTGATGAGCACTAACAACAGGGGTTCCTCTGTATGATGCAAAATAGCAAAAATATAATCTTCAATGCTTTCTTTACAACAGTATACAGAGAGCATCCTACCTGCCCGACATACAACATCTTTCCGCAGACAGAGCTGAAGTGCAATCGTTTACCCTACTCCCTGTTGTTGATAATCTAAAAATCCCTGTGGCTTTCTTGATTGTAATACAGGAGCAGAATTCCTAAAAAAAACATACTGTAGGCTCTGTTCTCTCTGTCAAATTCAGAAAACTCCATGTATCAAAGCGTCTGTCCTAATTAGTTGCCCAAGGGCATAATTTGGACTCATACCTGCCATGCTGAATTCTGATTGGTAATAAATCAAGCAGAGAGAAGCATGTGCACATCAGAGTTTTCAGCATTTTGATTCAACCAAGTCACCTGTGCAGAGTAGTGATGCGCTGGTGCTTGGTGTGAACCCAGTTTGTCTGAGCTCACCTCCAGGCCCAATCAATTGTACTAGGGGTAATCCCTGAACTTTTGTGATGTGTAGTTTCAGGGCAGGAAATGCGCCTGCGGCAACTGATTGGGCCTGGGGGGGTGTATGTCAGTCAGAGTTTTGCATGGGCTTGGGCAAACTCAGACAAACTGGGTTAACACCAACCACAGCTCATTACTAGTGAGCAGCACTGTAAAATATTGCTGCAGTGGATTACGCAGGCTAAATATAAATTATATGGTGGTCTTTCCAACTTTAACATAGTTGCAATATTTCCTAGATGTCATTAGCAGTTTACTCATTTACTTCTTTGCTTGCAACTGCTCCTTAAAGTGGACTTAGCATCAGATATAATTGTTTTATGTTAAATACATGTATGCTAAGCAATGTGCACTTTGCACATAAACTTGATACAGTATTTTAACCTGGTCTAAAATTAGTCCAGACAAGTTAACCAAAGCAAAGCAGCATACATTTGTTTGCAACCAAAACTTTACATAGCTGTAATGTTGGAAATTAAACAACAGTAGCCAGATGCCCTCTTACTGCTTTAGTAATGTGTTATCAACACGTAAAAAGCTAAAGGTACCACTAGCTACTGGCGTATACTTAATTGTAAGGAATCTGCATGCTTAAACTGGGTATTTCTTTATAACTTTATAGTAGGTTTTCTCCAATCATGTTAGTGACCTCAACCTTAATGAATGGGTGCCAACCATACTCACAATAAGGAACAATGGGGATCTGGTCAAACAACATTAAATACAAGTTATAAATAAATTTCAAAGTTATTTAAATTACAAAGTTATAAATATACTGTCACATTTTCACCCAGTGGTGCAAAAAATAAAAATGAAAATATAAAACCCAGTATACTGTAGCAACTAACCAGAATTAGTCTTTTACTGATCTGACATCAGTAAACGTGAACTTAAATAGTTATTATGGAAACCTGCACATTAAACATTATTATTGCTGTCAATGCCACCTTATTAAATAAGCCCACTTGTTTTAAAAGTAGTAATGAAGTCTGCAATGTTATATTGACTGGTGTGTTTGTGTTTTGCTTCAATTGGTGTATGCTAAGGCATACATCAATTAATTACCTTTCACACATGCTTCTTCTCAAATCCCTTAGCTTGTTGTTCCATTTCCATATGTATAAAATAAAATATCCGTACATATGTGGAGTCTCTGTAGCCTAGAACCTTTCATACAGCATTTTATGTGATTTTTAAAAATGTTTAAAGTACTTTGTAAACACCATTTTCTCTAAACTGTTCAATGGTTATGTTTGATTACAATGCATTTGCTGATTAAATTTGAATTCTGTTATGTGGATTTTTAAAAATTCTATTTGAACTAAATGCCACCATGCCTTTACGTGAATGTAGCCTAACTCCATGCTTATGAAGCATATTAAATGAGTACATTTTTCCAGCTAAGCTTAATGTCCAGTGCCTAACCCCGCACAGCATATTCCACTTAGACATTTTATTACCTGAGCGCAGTCCCTCCTTCTGAATGCTGTCATAGTCATGCCAGTCCTTCCTTCTGAGGCCATCTGTCCATGTGTAGAGCTGGGCATCGTTAAGTCCTAGAGTAAAACCCTGTATGGCAGAAGGAAACAACAGGACATCTAGTTAAATATGATATGGGTAAGTATAAAAATGTATTTGAATTTAATGTTAAGTTTAGCATGCATGACAATTGGGATGATTTCTAAATAGAAATGTATCAGAAACTATTTTCCAAGTAAAGCCCCATGCAGTTGCATGTGTGCTTGTGGCCAGGTGTCCATCCCTGAGATATTAAATACTGACACTTTTCTTTTATAAAACATTTACAATTATAAAAAGTATGTTGAAATAATTGTCAGAATATTAAATAATTGGCATAAATAACACTTTCTTAACAAATCCAAAACTAAATCCTCCAATTATTACTATTTACAAAAAATATATTGTCAAAGCTGAAATACTAGCAAATCCAAAATATACAAATTAATGAAGCTCTTTATTTATTTATACATTATTACATGTATTATTTTAAATGCAAGCAGTGTGAGCATGTGGATTTAACTTTCAATCAGCCTCTTGCAATTCCACATACAGGAAATCATAGACTAGTGGAGAAGGAAGTAACACAAGTAGCCAAAACGTTGTGCTGTAGTGCTCACATGCTAACAAGGATCAAGCAGATAAAAGCAGAAAAAAGAGTGAGAAGCTTATTTTACTTTATTATTTTTTATTGGTATTAATATGGTGCCGACAATTTATGCAGCGCAGCACATTCACATCAGTTCCTGGCCTCAAGGAGCTTACAATCTAAGGGCCCCATCACACATTCAAACATACGGGGCCCATTTAGACAGGAGCCAATTAACTTTCCATGCTGGAAGGTCTTTGGAGTGTGGGAGGAAAGTGGAGCATCTGGAGGAAACCCACGCAAGCACAGGGAGAACATGCAAACTCCTTGCAGATAGTGACCTTGAGAGCTGCAAGGCAGAAGCGTTATCCACTACACCAACTTATCAGTGTGATGTTTTGTCTATCATTGTCCAATCACAGAAGTGAAAAGACCTCTAAGTCTTACTCCAATGCTACGTAGAATAATCAGGTCTCCTGCTCTGCCAGAAAGCACTGTGTTCTGGGCAAACAGCTAACTATATAGATAACAGAGTAGAAATGTGTAGATCTCAGATTAGTCATTTATATATTTAGCTGTTTGCCCATATTTGTTACCTAGAACAGCTGAAATCTATTAGGCTGGTTAACAGAAAGCAGAGACCAGTGATGTAGCAAAGATCAAAGCAGAACTGCCTGCTTACTAGTATGTACAATCACAAATATATAATATTTAGACCTTTTGAACTATTTTATTTATGTTATTGATTATAGAAATAAATATAATGCAAGTTCCTTAACCGTTTTGTGACTAGAGTTCATTAATGCCTATATTCCCAGGCCAAATTTAGAATCAGCATGTGTTGATTATCTAAACACTAAATCTAATTTACCTAAATACCTAAATCTTTATACATATTTTTGAAAGATATTTAAAGCCTTAAATTGGTATTTTTTAAAACAAAATACACCCTGCCCATTTTTAAATTATAGGCTGAACAATGTTTACAAATAAAAAATAAGTGTTTTTCCTATTTCTTTAAATGCAACTGATTCAGACAGTTGAACTATTAAAGTGACACTAAACTCAGGAGTTAAATCTTAAAAATGCATTTAAGTACCCTAACTATTAACATAAATGTAGCTTATTTATGTATCAATCAACTGTACAGTAGATCTCCAAACCATCTCTGAATTAATGCTGACACTGTCCCTCCTTCTGAATGGTGGCTACTTTTGTTCCCCATGGTCCCTGTGTGTGTTTTGCAAAGTAGCCACCGCTTCAAGCTTAATGAAGGACTACAATTTGAATACAAATGAGAAAACTAAGCATGAGATTATAGTCCATCAAGGGAGTGAGCTTGGACCAAAGGCTACTTTCAACACACACAGGGACCATGGGGAACAAAGTAGCCACGCTCCAGAAGGATGGACAATATCAGCACAATTTTAGAGATGATTTAAGGATCTACAGTCCGGTGATACACAAACAAGCTACATTGTTGTTAATAGTTAAGGTACTTTAATGTATTTTTTAAGGTTTAACTCCTGAGTTTAGTGTCACTTTAAATAGATGGCCCTGCAGATGAACACCCCAGCCAGAACGTTGCAGTATTCATCTGCAGGTTGTCTGTCATTTTAGTCAATGGAACCTTTATCGTGCATGTGATCACTATGTCTCAGCTGACATGTAAATCACATGATCAGGAACCACTCCACTGGTTGGCTACAGATGGCCAGTGAAGACCCCATCTGAATTAAGAACCAGCAGATGCATGAAATAAAGGCTACTAGTTCTCAAAAGGGAGAACGTTTATAAATGTATCATTGGCAAATGGAATCATACCAGTAAATTTTATAAACAGACTGTAGAAGGAAAGGGGCTGAAACAAAACAAGGGTATTGTAAAACAATATAAGGACACATATTTGAGCCCTAAAATATGATAGATAGATAGATAGATAGATAGATAGATAGATAGATAGATAGTGGTACCTCGGTTCACGAACTAAATTCGTTTCACGATTCTGGTCGTGAACCGAATCAAACTGTGTTCAGACCACGATCTCGACTAGAGGAAGCCATGACCATGTGTCAGAGCAGGGAAAATGGCTGCGTTTGTGTTCGTCACCCGGATCGGAGTTCGTGAACAGAAGCAAAATTTTGCCGAACTTCCTGTTTGCGAACCGAATTGTTCGCGAACAGAAGCATTCATGAACAGACAGTTTGTCAGTTAAGACAGGAGAAATCTGTTAGAGGGGGGGGTTAGTGGGGTGTCAAAAATGCCTCCTGATAATCAAAAGACAGAAAAAATAAATGTAGGATGACAAATAAACCCTAAACAGATCAGAGACCCTAAACAGTTTCCCCAATGTAACAACCTTTGTCACATACTGAACACTGTATCATGTACACCACGTTAGCAGATGTGCATGAGTATGACCCCTTAATGGTGTACGCTTTGTTATTGTGACTCGCTGTACTCTTGTCTCATATATGTTGGCAAAGTTTGCAGCGGGGTTTATTGCATTGTACTGTGCCATTCTGTGTAAGTGCCTGTTCTGGGGTCAGCTTACTGCGTACCAATTTTCTTCTCAGGTTCAGTGGTTGCTTGAAAGCCAGTATTGGGGGCTGAGGGAATATTTCTCCACTGAGCTCCACTGAGGAGATTTACCTTCACTTCCTGCCCTGGAGATTCAAGAGGAAATGTAAGGAAATCTCATTACAGTGAATATAATTCCTATTCTAGAGAGCTGTCATAAGGTCATGTTTGACAACTGGAGAATTTTAACTTCTTACTCTGGTGACACATCTAAAATTTTGGATTTCCCATTACTTTATGTCTCAATGGCAATAGTCACCAGAACATACAGTAGGGTGAATCTCCCCAGCAAGGGAACAAACCACAATCCTTACTCCATTCTCATACAAAAAAGGATTTTCCATTTACTTTAATAACTGTAGAGATAAGCTCTATGTAACCAGTTAGACAGGAAATACTTGTTTTTGTTTAGTCAGTCAACCCATAGACTTGCATTGTGAGAAGAAGCCGTAAAGCATAACCATTGTGTACCAGGTATAAGGCAAGGACTAAATGTAATGTAATGTATGTTTATTACTAAATGTAAGCAAATAAGTATGTCCCACGTACTTACATCCGCCTGGCCATAGAATCAAATTCGGGTTCAGATCAGCCTGAAAAACAGATGGATCTAATCGGAACAGCCATTTGAAAGTCCCTTTATGTATATTTTACACATAAAGGGAAGTTTTTGAAAACATTAACATAAATTGATTTCTTGTTTATGAAAAAAAACAAAAAAAACATACATTCCTTTTACGAAGAAACTAGAATTTAGGTAATTGAGTTTTGACTTCATAAAATGTTACTGTTTTCTACATTCATATCTTCACATATATTTATTTCAACAGTTTGCATATATTTCAATTGTGTATTTAGCAATGTTCCTGCAATCTCACTTTCATTTTCTGAGTAAAATAGTATAAATACCAAGTGTACAAAGATAAGTCACATATAAAAATATATATGACCCCACGCTGCGTCAGTATGTTGGAGATTAATTACAAAGTATTAATGAGATGGTACCTGCGAGAATTGCCAAATTCCGACCACAAACCTCCTCACTATGTTTTAGGGGGTGCCCAGACCCAGGAACCTTCTATCACATATGGTGGCAATGTCCGAAAGTCGCGAAATTCTGGGACAAAGTGTTCCACATGATTTCTTCTCTGTTTCAGCACGCCATGCCCAAAGACCCCACCTTTGCCCTCCTTAACTGTAAGCCAGCGGGTCTCCCGACTATCACCTTTAAATTGTGCCGTCATATTCTGACGGCCGCAAAACGTGAAATAGCTAAATCCTGGTTGTCAAGCACGCTCAGCATCCATAATCTCAGAAGGCATGTTAACTGGATGATTGCACATGAGAAACGGACTGCACAAGTGGAAAACACCATGCGGAAATTTGAGAAAGTATGGTCCCCTTGGATCGAAAAATGTATGCCCACTGATGACCATCGTCGCCTCCTTACCTTGTGATAACGAGATCACCTCATACTGCCGCACCTACTTGTTGCTCACCGCACATAGCCCAACTCTCCCCTCCTTTCCTCCCGCTTTTCCCCCACCTCTCTATACTTTCCTGAGACCTCTCCCTTACACCCTCTGATGTACCAATGTTAACAGGAACGTCGGACCCGGAAAAGACTGGCCTCAGTGCCAACTAGCATTATTATACCCCCCTTACATACCTTTGACATTGCAAAACCACCAGGCCTCCCTGGTGGGCTCCAGTACCATTACTTTTCAAAGTAACCACGGTGTTCAACGAACCTACTTGAGCATACCAGTGCACATGTTAACTGGATCCACCTGGAGGCTGGTTGCTACAGCTGGTACCCACCTCTAAGGTCCGACA